CCCCACCCTCAGGCCCCAGCATCCCAGTGTGTGGGCTAGTGGGGGGTGGCACATGGTGGGCCCCAAGCAGCCCCTCGCAGGCTGGAGCTTTGCCAGCCTCCAAGGGAAAAGCCAGTTTCTCATGTTTTTCTCCTTTAAAGGAAAATCCATTTTTAAAGTTTGTTTGCAATCCTTTCATATATTCTTGAGACCCACTTTTGGGTCATGACCCATGGGTTGAAAAACACTGCTCTATACTGCTATAAATCATACCAGGACCAGGAAGAGATTGACAGTTTTTGCTACGCCTTGCCACTAGGTGGTGGGGAAGCAGATAAGTCTATCCTATGATGGATGCAGACAGATAAAACCTAGAACACTGTATAACTTGCCCTTGAAGATTTTTACCCCTGATTCTTTCAGGGGTTATTCATCGTAAAGCAAAGTTACCCAGCTGTAGGGGTTTCCATTGTCTGTCTGTTCCTGGTTTACACCAGTGTAATACCAATCCCATCAATGTAACTGTTTTGTCTGTCCATCCCCTTTCTCAGGATGTTGCTCAACATTTAGTAACAGCAGGGTGTTTGCATGCACACTGCATTGCAGGGCCAGAGCAGAGGTTTGTGGCTTGCTAAAGCAGCCTGAACTATTAGTACTGCATCAGTATTAGGCATAAGCAACTGTGTGCTCAAGCCTCATTTGGGTAAACTAGATGTGTTCCCTTCTCAGAGCTTCACAGCACTGTCTCCCCTTTACCCTTCTATTCTTTGTTCTGCCCTTATCACAACCACTTCCTTGCAGCAAGAAATTATTTGGTGCATACAAACACATTTGGAGTAATGCTAAGAAATTAAAGATGGAGAAGCCTAATCTACTACTCCCCTCTTCCTAGCTCCAGTCTCAAGAGCTGTGTTGCAATTGTTTCCTTATAGTCATGGCCCCATCACCTGAACAAGACACTGGATCCATGTTATTGTAGATCCGGAAGTATTAGTTGGAAATAAGATTTCATATCAATTAAGTTCAACTGATTGTATGCCACCCCCAAATGCCAGTATGCCCAGAGATTTGCACTGACAATGAATCATAGATGCTGGAGGGCTAGGGAAGAGGGAGGACTTAGCAGTCAGATGGAGAACTGCTTTCCTTTTTAACCTATGAAGAGGATAAGACTGAGGGTCTTGGTGCTGGGAAGGGGATGAATCACTTTTTCTCTCTACCCCATTCACAGCGAAGCAGGTTTTTGCTCTGCATTAATGAGGCTGGGTTTGGGTCAGTGTCCACCACTGCCACTCACAGTATTAAGAACATGCATTAGTGGGATGTTTCTTCAAGAACAACTAGTATCTAATCAACACTGGCATGTAATTTACTGTTGTTGGGTTCCAGAGTTAACACCTATCTGAGCTAAATGAGCCAGTGCATCCCTTGCTCAAAGACACTGTTTTATGTGCTGTGTAAATGTAGGGACACTAATGTAAACAATGTAGTGGTGTGTCATAATCTGTAGGATTTTGGCAATCAGAGGGGCTAGAAGCCAATTGTTTAAATGAAAGCATGGACATTACAGCACAACTATGCAGCCGGGTCAAAAAGAGCATAGAGTTGCATAATTTCATGATACGTGGAGCTCTGCCTACAGCATATTACCTGTGTAGTTTGACACATCCCAAGAGACTACTCAACCATTTGGGAGGCATCATGGAAGAAACATTTTCCCCAAAACACATTTTAAGTGCCCCTTTCCCCAATTTCATCCCATTACAGTTTGAGATATTTCTCAATCCCTCAAATAATCCCCTTCTCCTACTAGGTTTTATATCCTCCAGATATTTTGACTTTTGTTCAAAGAATCAAAATCCTCCAAATGGCAGTAGACAGACACTTGGCTTGCTGCTATGGCAAAGCTATATCTATCTCAGGGCTTTTCCATCTTTCCTATCTGGTGACCCTATGCTATGGTAGAAGGTAGCTTGGGGAGTCCCCTGCCAACCATCTGTAGAAAAAAGAGAGGGTGGAGAAATTATGTTTTATTTCCCTCTCATGCTCCTTCTGAAAAAATCAGTCCTTCCTGGTTCCAAATCAGAGAAAGTAGATTGTATGCACTGGCTCCTTTTTATGGACTGTTACTTATGCTGCCTTTTTGCTTAAAGGGTAAACTGTCAAAGAGATTGAGCCCCAAATGTGACCTGCATCTTCCAACTGCTCTGCTCTGGTGGGCAATGCCTTGTGACATCTACTGATCCCTCTTGCTATGACATCTATCCCCATGACTGGTAATGAATGATCATTGAATGGATGAATCAATGAATGATCAGTATCACACAAGAATAGGCTTTATGCATGGTGATTTTGTGAGGATTACTTTGTTAATAAGCCCTGTTCCACAGCCCTTACTTACACTAGCACCATTGACTTCAGTTAGCGCTGGTGTGAATCAGGAACAACTCCACCGAGCTCAGTGTCAATGAAAGTACTTACCAGACTTCTCTGCTGCCCTCATCCTCGTCGCCCGAGTTCCTCCTAGCCCAGAAAGTGTGTTCCAGAATCTGTAGGCTTCAGACCAATTTCTGTAAAGTACTTTAAGGGTGTCAAAATAAGGCACACTCCTGCTGAACAGAAGCTTGCCTCTGAAGCAGTCCCATTAGTTTCACTGGAACTGTGTGTAGTGTAAGGGATTACTCATTGTGTGTAAGCATTACCATAGATAAAGCCTGAGTAAATTGCTATTGCAGTATTGCCAGCCCAAGCATTCAAAACCCAAAAGTCAGGCCTTTAAAAAAAATCATGAGATAACAAAAAATCATGAGATTAGCTAAAAATCATGCAATTTGAGATTCTTTTTAAGGTCTTTTTTTTTAACCTTCTGATTTCCTGGGCTGTCAAGGTCACATCTCAAATCTAACCTCCACAACCATGATGGACAACCCCCTTTTTTTCAACAATGAAAGTAGCTGGCACTATCTTGGGATTTACAACATAATCAGAAGAGTTCGCAACATGATGAAGCTTCCTCCTGCAGATCACCTATCTACTAGCCTGGTATATGTATTGTTTTGCTCTGTGCACACCAGCATTGAAAAAGAACATCAATTTGAAAAAGCCACATTTCCATCTGAAATTTCAGGGTCTACAGGGACAGAGGTGAAAGTAACATTTGCCTGGTTGTTTTCTTTGAATATGATAGCACACAACATGCTAGGGAAGTTTCAGTGGTGTTGAGGGTTCAGCCTTTTCCCAATGTTCTGCAAGCAGGTTTTTATCACTAACAACAGCAGCACCAAAATTGAGCAGGGAGCAGAGAAGGATGAAGAAGGAAACCCAAGGATGCTTAGCAGTGCTCTTGGACCTGCTCCAAAGTCTCCTCTAAACATTAGCAGCAGAGTGAGGAGAAGCAAAAAATAATATGATTATTAAGTTGTTGTTTTCCTCACATCATTTAAAAGCAACTTGCAGAAAGTGTGAGGTTTTTAGAACAAACCAGTTTCAGGAAATTCACACCACCTCACCTTAGCAGGCTGGGGGATATAAAACCAGTCTGCTTCTGCAGACCACCACAACCAACTTCACACCCTCATGCTCCAAACCAGCAGTTTCCAATGTGGTGGCCAGGGCGCCATGGATAAAACTTAAAAAAAAAAACACAAAAAAACCCCAAAGTAAAGGGAAGTTGCATTTTGAAGTTCCAGATCTAATGTAATGTTAAGTAATGCATGCGATGATCAGATTGATCTAAATTCTAAACTTTAATATTTGTATTGGTGCCCGCTGCTTTTTCTTTTAAATTTGAATGTCCCCTTGGGCACATAAATGTTGGGAACCCCTGCTCCAAACCATTCACCATCTCACCCTCACATCCCCAAAATGGCGGGACACCTTTGGCAAAGGCAAGGGCAAGGACTCCCCATAGACCAGCCTACATTCCACCCTAATCCCACAAACCACTGCGGACCTAACTAGGTGGCTCCTACACGGAGCCATCTGCACGAGCATGCATCTGGTAGGCTTTACTGACTTCAATACCTGCCTCTTCTGTGAATAAAATGAGACGGGGCACAGGCCTACCACAAATACTGCAGGCTGAAGCCTTCCACTGCTTCCCCAGGAACCTATCTGCTGCTCAGCTTCCTGCTCCCTGCCCTGTGCTTCCTTCCTGATTTCTGGCTCTGCTTTCTTCTTCTTCTTTCTTGTGCTCCCTGCCTAATGTTGCTCTGCTTTCTGCCCTATCTGATGCTCTGCCTTCTCCCCACCCCACCCTCCCTGCCTAACTGGTTGCTCTATTTTCTGCTTCCTTCCCCACCTGCCCTTCCCTGAATCTGCTGCTCTGCTTCTGCTCCCCGCCCAACCTCTTGCTCTGCTTTTTGCATCTTTCCCTGCACTCCCTACTTGATCTGCTGCTCTGCTTCCTGCTCCTTGCCCTATGTTCCCGACCTGATCTTTTGCTCTGCTTTCTGCTCCTTTTCTGATCTCTTGCTCTGCTTTCTGCTTCTTGCCCCTGCACTTCCTGCCTAGGGTGGCCGTCACAGAGGACATTCCGGTTTTCTGCTACTCTGTCCTGTATTGTTATGAAACCAGATGGCTTTATGTCCTCTATTTTTCTCTTCAAGAGAAAAATTCCTATGCTGCTGCTGCTGGCCAACCCCGCTACCCATCAGACCAAGGAGCTCCTCTTCAAGAAGAGCTCTCTCTCCTCAAGAGAAAAAGAGAGGACATGAAGGTGTCCGGTTTCGTATCAACAGAGGACAACCAGACCGTCCTCTACGATGGCCACCCTGTTCCTGCCTGCTCTGCTCCTTGCCCTGTGCTCAGCCTGTCCCCTCTGCTTCCTGCCTGCATGGTTGCTCCGCTTTCTGCTTCTTCCCCCTCCCCTCCCCTCCCCTCCCCTCCCCTCCAGATCTGCTGCTCTGCTTACTGCTCCCTGCCTTGGTATCTAAGCAGTGACGGTGCTGGTACGAGGTCCGGGCCTGCCCGCGTGCTAGCGCTGCCCCGCGGGAAGGGGCGGTCCCGCCCCGCCCCGGCAACCAGCTGTTGCCCGGCAACCGCGGCCGGGCCGGACAGGAGGCACTGGGTGAGCGGGGCGGCTCCGGAGTGACTCTGGATGGGGCGGTGCGGGGCTGCCCACGGGGCTGCGGCCGGGACCCCCGTGCTTTCCCGGCTGTGCTCTCCCCGTCCCAAAGCACCCGGCCGGCTGCGGTCCTGGCCCTGGCCCTGCCGCGCTTCCCACGCCCTGAGGTGCCTGGCGGGAGAGGCGCAGGGTGCAGGGGAGGGGTGCTTCCGTCTCTGCCCCCCTCCTCGCAGACACCCGTCTGAAGGGGGCTCTGGAGCCAGGCAAGAGACACGGCCTCCCCCCGGGGACTGAAGGGGTGAGCCGGCAGCACCCATAGCCATCAGCTCTGGCTGTGGAGCAGCCCCAAGGCTTTCTAGGGCAGGGATTTGCAGCTCCTATTTGCTGCCCGGGACCTAGAGCGAGGGACGCAGCAGGTGCTAGAGGTCCAGGCAGCCAGTCTGGGTGGATCTGGGGAGCTCGGGGCTCAAACCCCTCCTGCTCCCCCATTTTCCCTCTCACCCACTTTACAGAAATGCCTTCCCTTCTCTCCTCCAGAGGCCCCTCTGCTCTGCACTGGTTCTGCACTGGTTATTTTCACATTGGGAAACTTGGGGGTTTGGGCTAGTAAAAGCCTCTGGATGGGGACTCTTGTGCGCGTTGTCAACTGGTTGGAAAATAACCTCACCAGATTCGCCTGGTTAAGCAAGGAGGACCTGGTGCTCTCCTCCCAGCTTCCAGCAAGTATTTAACTAGCAGAGGCTGTACTGTTGTGAGGTCTCTATTACCATGATTTCATTGCTTTTTCAGATGATGCTATGGGCAGTATACTAACATGCTGCATCACATTACCTTAGATTCATTACTCTTAAACAGTGGTCCTCAGAAATTGTGAGAGAAGCTCATTCTATGATGCTTTAGGCTCGGTTTTGTAAAGTTATATTTGCCTGCTTTTTCGCTTGCTTTGCGTGGTAAGGGATTGGCCTCATGTGATGACCAGCAGGTAGCAGGGTAGAGTTTCACCTTAGAGACTAACTAAAGTAGTGATATATAGAGATCACAAGTCTATCTAGATAGATCTATCTATCTATCTACTTTGGTTAGTCTATAAGGTGAAAATCTACCTGGCCTTCTACCTGACTTCAGGTTATTAACACAGATAATGACATCCATGCTACTGACCAACACCACTTGGTGAGTTCCTGTTGTATCCAAATGGACAGAATACTTTTAGATTGGAACATCAGTTCTGCCTTGTTTACTTGTCAAAATTTAAGGCCAGGGCCTTACTTTGTTTTGTTTTGGGGTTTTTTGGGTTTTTTATTTTTTTATTTTATTAGGCTGAGTACACTGCTAACTTCCAAAACAGTATTGGTCTGCTTCAGGTGCTGGTAGTGTTAATGGGGGTTTTGCGTGAGAAACACAAAGTATGAGGGTTTGAGATTAAATCAAGAGCCTTTCACCTTTAAGTATCCTGACATTCACAGTCTAGAAAAGAACACCAGAAGGCAATTAGTGAGGAGATGAAGGAAGCATGTTCTGGCTGTTCAAGTACAGCCTTGGGATTTAGATCTATGGTCTGTTCACAGCATCATGATAGATTTCCTGTGGGTCCTTTCCCTCTAGGACCTCACTTTTCCTGACTGGAAGACAAAGATATTTTGCTTACCTTATAATGAGTTATTATTTGGTGAGTGCATTGAGATCTTTAGATGGAAGGAGCTAGAGAAGGATGAAATATCATTTAATTTAGTAATTACTGAATGGTGACCAAACTCCATCTCCCCTCCCCATGTTTCTAGATATCAGAGAGGAGAAAGCCACTCCTCATTCAGGACTTTGATGAGGCTTGGAAGTAGCCTTTTTCTTATTTCTCTCCATGTTGCTGTATAGGCCGATGTTGAATGTCTCCTTCCCACAGTTGCTGGCCCATTAGGTGGCCTTAGCCCAGATATGGATGCAAAATCTATTGAACTGTAACCATGCAGTGCTGATTGGCAAGTGTTGGTTGGTGGTCATTCCTTAGCTACTTTTGTGTTTATGAAATAACATTACAGCAGTGACCCGTACTAGCAGTGTCCCATATGCTGACAGTGAATCACAGCACCTTAAGTAAAAGAAGTTCCAGGAGGTCATATTGTCCCTGGCACAGTTTAAGTTATACTGTTGACAGCAACATACACATTCATGAACAGTTGGCAGGCCTAGTTTGACCCATTTTTTGGACCTATCATCTGTATTTCCGATCTGGCTGTAGTTAGCACAGTTTCCTTGACCGGTGAGTATTTTTTTTCTTTACCCAAGAACCACTCTTGTAGGTTTTCTCCTTAAGATTCTACAACAGACTTCCTAATGCAAGTGTAGCATCAGTAAAAATGGGTGTCAGAATTGCTAAGAATCCAATTGATAAGAGTTCTTACCCGTGATAAGAATGCTTGACAGCGATCAGGACCTTTAGCCATTGTATCTAACCAAGCTGAGGGCAGACACAAATATAGCATGTTAGTAATAAGACCTGCAGTTCAGCCAGTGTTTCCACCCATCTAGTACAATGCTAGGAGAACTTCCTGAAATTCTAGGTAGACAGAGCCCAGATGGGGATACAAACTCTGTTAGGCTAAACATTAGTTTTGAAACACTATTTTTCAAATATATTTTAAATATACAAGCTTTACTGTAGACAGGGACTTTTGCTTAATTCTGTTTCTTGGATTAAGTTATCACCACCAGGGGTCCAATTCAAAGCCCGCAGACTTCAGTAGGATTCTTTCCATTGACCTAGATGGGCTTTGGATAAAAAACCAGAAGCAGGTGAACTATATGTTTGAGCATACCTTATTTACTCTGGACCTGAAGAACTAGAACAGTGGTTCCTAAAGTGTAGCCCATGAATCTCACTGCTCCAAAGCCCACTTTTAGGTAGGAGTTTGATGATAAGGAAGAATAGTGGTTCCTGAAGATTTGGGGGTTGACAGTATCTGCTTGCCCAAAAAGTTTGGGCACCACAGAACTAGAGTATTAAGCAGCAGGTTTAACTAGAATCACTTGGAGGGAATGTTGAAATTATTTCTTGCAGACAACAGAAATATACCTTTTTTTAGTAATTCTGTGTTGAAAGGCAAAATGTGTTAGTTTGTGCATAAATGAGATTGGGAAATCACTGAATGTCCCACTTCTTTATATATTATTTAATAGAGCCTTTGAACTCTCAGTGATGTTAGCATAGAGTAGGTAAAAAGGAGAATGCATTACTTTTATTTACTATTTCTGGCTTGTTAATAAGACAGCCAGTTACAACATTGAAGTTTACATATATGGTAAGCTACACACATTCAACTCCTAGAATCTGCCGTATCAGCAATGATTTTCTGTCTAACGTTCTTAAACCAAATTTAGGTGGGGTATAATGAACCTTCAGCAGCCATTTCAACGTGGGATTTGCTCTGGTCTGGAGACATTCAGAATCTTTGAACAACAGGAGCAATGTGTGATTACTGTGCCAAAAGTAGTGGTAATTGATTCAGTGTGATCAGTGAGTCAGTGTCAGAGGCAACACTTTGCAACACCTTGAGCCCTTGATCGCTGAGTTGATTCAGGCACCTTGTAGAATAGTTATCACACCCTAACACCCTCACTTCTCCTATATCCATGTTCACACTGAATGCTAAGTTGGAGCAGTAGGGAACTGGAAACAGAGAAACATGTTTTGTATAGAGCCAGCCACAGTGTGCATCCTTAACAGCTGTCCCAGGGGTCCATGCCAGTGGCTAATGCTCTGCAGCATCACATGTGGGATCTGTCTAGAATGGAAAGAGGTTGTGGCTAGGTCAGAGTTAGATAGTTAACTATAAACTCTTTAGTTAGTTATGCTATTAATTATAAACTCTTCTCCTGATCCCAGCCAGACCATGGATCACCTGGTTGACTTCACTATTCAGATAAAAGGGAGCATTGCACCGGTATCTGCAGGCAGCTCTGCTCCCGTGGTCCACAGGATGCAGCTTGGTTTTCTTAAGTCTCTTTTAAAAAAAGAAAATTGTCAACTAAGTTACTGTGCAGTCAGGAAACTGTCATTCAGATTCTGTTCTGGAGCACAATCATGGGATAATCTTAGGCCATCCATGATGACTTGTGATCCCAAATTGTCAGCCTTCCTGGGATGCCTCCAGGAAGGTCAGGAATGCTGGCAACAGGCATAGTGAGCTGGGCCTAGCATGGGTGGTAGAGAAACATCAGCACCTTTAGAAAGGAAGGAAGCACTGGGCAGGGAGCCTGTCCTCTTTAACATGATCTCAAGGCCATCTGGTCACTCTTTGACTCTTTTCCTTCTTCCCCAAGTTCTTCAGTCCCTAAAGCCTTACCTTTAGCTAATGTAAATCCATGATGGCAGTAGACCTATTCACCAGCAGTGAGCTATATACCATCCTTTCTCTTTCCCTCACAATTGGTGATAGCTGTCTGGACAGCCCTGGCAATTCCCTGTGTGTTTTGTGCTATTTGAAGAAACCCTTCTGCTCCCTTTCTCATACTTTGTTTCTGACTCTTCAGACTGCATCCCCCTATTTCTTCCAGCCCCTGTTTGGTGTAGTCACCCCACCCCACTCCCACAGTTTCACTGAATTACTGTCAGAACAGTAGGGCATGAAATAAGTTGTCTGAAATACATGTGGAATCTCCTTCATTGGAGGTTTCCAGGAAGAGGCGAATGGGTATTTACCTGGGATAGCACAGGAACAGCTCATCCTGCAGCTGGGTAGGAGGCACTGGACTAGATGGCCCTTGGGGTCTCTTCCCAACCCTGTCATTCTGTGATTCTTCCTGGGTGTGCAGTCCTCCTCCTCCTCCTCATCTTTTCACTACCATTTCCACTGATGTTCTCACACAGATATATCAGGAGATACAATCCATATCTTAAGCAGCCCTTTGTCCTCTCTCAAGACCAAAGGACAAGAGCCACCTGCCATGGCTTTATCTTTCATCTCCTGTTCCCTACTATCATTATTAACTGATTACTTTCCTTTAACATTTGGTATGAATACATTTGAAGATGCCTTTGCTGACGCATTCTTTGCAGTCTGACATGAGTAATTTTTGTTTGACTCTATTTTTTGATATTTCATAGATCTCCTCTCTTCCTTTATGCTGGCTGTTTAACAGTTACTTCCTCAGACAGTTTTGGAAGGGCTTTCTATCAAAGCCAACTGTCTACAATAAAGGTTTCAAAGAAACAGGAGTTTATGTTGACTGAGCCAGCACATATTGCTTGTGTAAAGGAAAATGGAGTAATCTCGTGTAGGGGGAAAAGAAATAATGAGCTTGATCTGGGTAGCAGCATCTGCTTCTCCCTCTGTTCTGGTAGAATTGTGTGGGATCAAAGCACTGTTCCAGACAAATGTGCGGGCGGGACAGCATGGCCTGGGATCCTATGTGTCTATAGGCTCCTTCGCAGGATGTTGTTGGAGGGCTTTTTGGAGGGACATCTCATCCAACTCCAGTGCTCATTTCTGGCATAAGCACGAGCTCCATGCTAAAACAAGTCCTGAAGTGCAAATAAAGATAGGGACCTCCATCTCCAGTGCACCTGACTACACGGCATGTGCACTCTAGCCACACTGGTCTAAATATGTCTGTCAGCAATGTCACCTTTGCCCATGGCACCACTTCTTGATGACATCACAAGTTGTACTTCCTCGGTTTTATCTTTGAATGTCATTCATTCTTTTCCGCCTGGTGCCTTATTTATACTCAAGCTCTCTCTCTAATTGTCTCTCCCCTTTCAGCATACCACTTGATGGCCTCTTAACATTTTTAGTTGCCCTGTTGGTGCGGCCTAGTGGGGGAAGCCAGACTCACTTATTTATCTGGGGCCAAGCAGGGATCCGATGGAAAGGAGCTACGGCAATATTTTATTCCTTCTTTAGCACTCCCTGCCTGACCTCTCATTAGAAAGCATCTTTCCCTTGCTTCTCTTCTGTACTTGTGCAAACTCTTCTCTTGAAGTCCCTTCAAATAAAAGGCAGTTCTGAGCCTTTTCCATTTCTAAGCTACAGCCTTCCTAGCTCCAGCTGTTGCAGGGACAGCGGTTAGTCCCAGTCATGAAGGTACTTCATCTTCCTCTTAACCCCTGAGCAGGTGAAATAACATGGGGTGCTCAGGGAAAGGCTCACTAGTATAGATTACTGTCATTGGACATGCTGAATCATGAAATGCAGATCCCAGCATCTGTGTTGCAGAAATGAAGCCCCTTCCTTTTTAGTCCATCCTTTGCTGTCCTCACTCAAGTCTCTCACTGAGAGTTTCAGCCACGTGCTTTACAAGCTGGTGTCCTACACATGGGTATATGCAGGCCAAGAACAGGGAGTGCAGAGGTTGGGAGAAGAAAGCTGGAAGATTTGCCCATGGGTAGGAAGGATTGGTGCTTACAGAACTAATGGATAGTAGAGAGAACTGAGAATCGGGAGTCTTTGAGATGTAGGGCTGGAACAGAGGTCATCTACTTCAACCCCCTGCCTGAGGCAGGATCATCCCTATTCAAGCCATCCCATACAAATCCATAAAACAAACTCTTAGTAAAACTATGGTCAACATGAGACATAATACCCTACGAGTCCAGAGTCCTGTATGCTGCTGTCTTCTGATTCTTATATGTAATTTTTGTGAGGGTCTGAACTGTGGAGGCACAGTTCACGAATGCTTGTGAAGAGCAATGAGATCCACTGGTAGAAGCCAAAAGGAAAGGCAGAGAAACGATTGTACCTAGAAGTGAATACAGTTCCCATGAGTTTTCACTTGTAAGGGATTGAGACTTCTTTCTAGCAGTACCATACTATTATCTTTATCCGTTACATTCATTACACTAGTACCAAGGGGCTTTATAGTGTCAGGTACCATATAAATAAGAACACCAGACTGTTGCTTCACAGAAGAGTTTACAATTAAGACAGACAAAGAGTAGGGGAAAGGCGTATTTCATATAAGCAAAGCAAGCAGAGTGATGGCTTGCAAATATCTTGTCACAATGTTTCTATTTGTTTTAATTAGCAATAGGAAGATGGTTTGACTGCTGGCCCTTTCTACAACTGTCTTTCTTCTAAGAATGCCAACTGTAAATGTGGCTGGCAATTGCCAGCCAGAAGCAGACTGTGCCTCTACTTCATCAAAAGGGATAGCCTCATTCTCCCAAGTGAAGATGCAGGAGCCGGTCCTTGGAGATACCAGTGTGATGCCCCCCCCAGTGCGAACATCTGTGGTGAACCCTGCAGCCAACATCCGCCACATGCGACGGATCATTGCTGAGGATCCAGAGTGGTCCCTAGCCATCGTACCACACCTCACTGAGCTCTGCCTTCAGCACATCATCATCAACTTTGAAAGTAAGCCAGCTGCAACAGGCCTGCTGACAGCCTTGTCATACACTTGAACCTGCAGTAGGCTTGTGAGGGCTAGCCCTGCACTGAAGCATCCTTGTGCCCCAGCCAGCCCCTCTGCAGCACATTGAGCAGGGGCAGATCAGCTCCAGGCTGGCAGGCTGACCCACCATGTCCCCTGCCTGTTGGGACTGCGCTGCTCCAGCTCAATGTGCTGAGGTCCCAGGCGCACATGTAAATGTTGTGCCCAGGAGCAATAAGCTCCAGTGCAAACTGTGCCACAGTTTATTTGGGTGCATTAATAGCATGTATAGATGTATCCACTAGTTTCATTTTGTGACCCCTAGTTCTTGTATTGTGAGAGACAGTAAATAATAAATTCCTATTTACTTTCTCTTCACCATTTACAAGCTGGCTTCTTACACATGGGGGCATGCAGGCTATGAACACTGGGTGCTGAGGATGGAAGAAGGAAGCTGTAAAATTTGCCCCTGGAAAGGGAGGGTTGGTGTTTACAGAACTAATGATTAGTGGAGAGAACTGGGAGTCAGGAGTCATAGGGAAGTCAGCCTGAAAGGGATCTCCAGGGCACATCTACACTTGCATTAACATGCTTTAGTTAATGCATATTAAATCTAGTACATCTGGGCATACGTTTATTAGCACGTCAGAGGAGACTCTATTAATTGAGTCGGCTTCAAGTCTGCTAGTGTTGAACAAGCTTTAGTTAAAGCACCTCTGCTGCCATTTTAAAGCATGGGACGCTGAATACATGTGACGCTGCAGATGCTTTAATTAAAGCAGCTCTGAGAGTCACTCTAACTAAAGCCCCCCTCTTCTACCCCGGAGCATGTATATAGATGCCCCTAGAGGTCATCTAATCCAGTGGTTCTCCACCTTTTTTGTACCAGGACCCATTTGTAAACATTGATGGCCAGTCCTGACCCAGTAAATAGTTTAAGTAGAAAACAGCCCCCTGCCCTGCTGGTGCCCATCACTCCCAACCTCTGTGGGGGTTGATGGGGCATGGGGGGCCTCAAGCAGCCCCTTGCAGGCTGGAACTCTGCCAAACTACGAGGGAAAACCCATGGTTCCCCATGTTTTTCTCCCTTACAGGAGAATCTATTTTTAAAGTTTGTTCATGACCCTTTCATATATTCTTGCAACCCACTTTTGGGTCACAAGACACGGATTGAAAAACGCTGATCTAGTCCAATCTCCTGCCTGAGGCAGGATCAGCTCTATCCAAACCATTATGGATTTAATATTTTGTAAACACTTATCATGTCCCCCCTCACACATCTCTTTTCTAAACTGAATAGGCCCAGAATCTTTAGACCAGTGGCTCCCAACCTTTTTTGGCTGCTACCTTAAATCCAGGTTGCAACCCCCGCCCCCGACTCACTTATGCCTGGCAGTGCCCGGACTGGGCCAGAATTGTGGGGGCAGCAGCGGCAAGAACCATGCAGACTGTGTGCTGGGAGAGCCCCATAGGCAGAAGGAGCAGAGTGAGGGGCGGATCCCCTGCAACCCTGATTTGGGTCGTGCCCTAAGGTTGGGATCCACTCTTGTATGAAAGCCCCTCCATACCACTAATCATTCTTGTTGTCCTTCTCTCTACCTTCTCTGGTTCTTTGATATTCTTTTTGAGATGTGGGGACCAGAACTGGGCACAGTATTCAGTGTTTGGATGCACCATGGATTTATAAATGGGCAAAATTATAGTTTCATTTTTGTTTACAATTCTCTTCTTAACAATCCCTAACATTTTATTTGCCTTTTTGACAGCTACTGAACACTGAGCTGATTTTTTCAGTGAACTGTCCACATGTTACTGCTAGGCACATGCTTGAATTAGGTTCATCCTTCTTGTAACTCTTGATTTTTATGGAGATTCACAAGGGGTGAATCTGTTCCACTGGGACCTCCCATATAGAATGTGACTCTGCCCAGATCTTAGCCTGTCATATGAATTTCTCTCCATGCGCTGCTTGTGCTCACCACATCAGTTTTTACCAGGACCTGTGAGTTCATGCCTCTCTTCTCATTTTATTACTCAAATCAGTTATATTCACATCATGGCTCTTGAGCCTCAAGTGGCTTTGTGACTTACCTCTTTGTGATTTTTCACAGAAGCTGTTATCAAAAGGTTTGGGGTTCTTTTTTGCTGTGTACATTGGACACGTCTTTCCAATAATCATGAATAATGCAACAAGGGGGACGCTTATCCCTTTCAATCATGGTACAATTACAGTTGGCTCCTATTAATAGCAACCTGTCAGTGCCTTGATGCTGTGTTGCTCCTAAGTGACTGTTTCTGTTATGCAGCATCACCTAAATACACAGTACAAAAAATGTTCCTGTGTAAATGTTGCTGGTAAGAGAACACTGCTCTTAACAGATGTGGCTGAAAACAAGTGTGTTCTGGCTTTTGCAGTAGGCGTGCATACAGTTCTTATACTGTTATAGACATACCAAGCAGGAAGTATTACTAGATTCAAAGGCAGTCTTTTTCTTTTGCCGTAACTCACCAAGGGGATACCAATTGTTGTGGCTTTTTTGGTCAGCACTGACAGCTTATGTGGCTCCTGAGCCAGGCAGGACCAAGCATTGCTGACTTAAATTACATTCACCTTCAGAATAGGGGTGCCACTATGCTACATGCTGCACCCAAAGCTGGGAGTGCTCCCTGCTTCCAGTCCAAGAACACATGTAGTGCACACAGGTTGTGAGAGAGGGCTAGAATCCTGCGACATAGCTCCTGTTTCCACAAGGATTGGTTGTCGTGTGACAAGCCAAGAATGGCGGCCTCTTTGGGCGGGGAATTTTCCCCCAGAGTACACTAACTGAGAAGAAACAGCTAACTCCCAAACTGCCTGGGCATGGCAATTCAGTGGGAGCAGGTGGGGAAGGAGATCCCTTCCTGTGGTCATCAAGACTGAAGTCAGGAAGCAGGATAGCAGCACAGGGAGGTAGGCATGCCTGCCCTAGTTTTCATTAGCATGGGTGCCAGTAGCAGCAGTGAAGTTGCAGTAGCATGGGCTTCAGCACAGAACATCTGAGCCTGCCAGGGGTCTTCAGTATTTAAATGAGCAGCTGGTCCCCTGTGAAATCTGTGCAGCCCCATCTTCATTGCTGTTATTGCCTGAGCAAGCTAAATTAAAGCAAACATGGATTTGCCAACACATGCTGCAATGGAGGCTTATCCTAAGAGAAGGTCATTGCAGTGCTAATGGTCTGGAGTTTGGAAGGAGAGTGCAGGGGACATAAAGGAAAAGTTTCTAGGGAAATGCTCTATGGTCTTCTTATGCGGAACACCTTTGTAAGGGAAATGCCAAGAAGAGAGACAATGGGTAAGTGTCACGCAGCTTTTCTTCTCAATTACAGTTCCTTGTACAGACAGGTCTCTCCAGTCTTCATCAATCTATTAGGATGACAGTGATTAAATACAAACCATGTACATAGCACTGAAAACATACATGGCATTTCAGAGGCACTCCCAGCCGGGTAGACCTTCCAGGGTAAAAGAGCCAAGCTGAGACATGGGAGAGTAGTTCAGGCAAAAGAGTTGAGGGAGCTCACAAATAGGAGATGGAATTGAAGAGGGGCTCATTGGACAGGAAGTGGGAAACTATCAATACCACAGTCTTAAGAACCCAGGTGCAAAGCCAAAAAATTTACGAAGAGCACTTATGCAGGTTCAAATATCTACTCCCTGATAATGATTATAATCCGAGCAAAGAAAATTCATAAAACAGGCTAAATCTTGCTATGTAAGACTAGAGTAACTCTGTGGTGTTACTTGGGATTTAAACTTCTGTAACTAAGAGCAGAATTGACAATGATAGATACATGTAGCAATAAAAATACAATTGCTAGCCACTTCTATGTAGGGCCCAGGATATGTGTGGTTCACTACTGTTGGGGGCCACAGATGGGGAGCTAAATAAACAGATGCCATTCCCAAGCATCTTATAAAATCACTGTTTGCCAAATGTAAAGAACTAATGTTAATAGGTCTGGCTTAAAAAATTAACATGATATTTCTAGGATTGGATAAGACAGTGTAATGTGAACACACCCTTTCTCTGACTCTAACTAACTCTGGCGAGTCATCTGCTTTTCTTCCTTATTCTCCACAGAGAAACCTATTTTGAACCATCTCTTGCCTGAGCACCAAAAGAGAGTGCTGGACAGGATCTCCACAGGCCTTCCTCTCTCTGTGACAGCCAACCTGATCAGTGATGAAGGCTACTGGAAGAGGTGCTGCATTGAGCGTTGGACAGTTTGTGATGTCTCCTGCTATGGGGGCAGCTGGAAGCGGATGTTCTTTGAACGCCACCTGGAGAACATCCTCAAGTACTTCGTCCCTAATGTAACAGACCCTGATCGGGTCCTGGATGTCATCCCTCTCTGCAAGGACTATGTCAGGAAGCTGGAGATTGACCAGTTCCTCCCTCCAGTGAAGCTAGATGAGAAGAAGGAAGAGGAAGACCTGTCTGATTCTGGGAGTGATGTTGAGAATGATGAACTCTCCATGCACCACTATGACATAGGGGGGCTCATTGTTGCCCTTCCTCATCTAGAAGAGCTGAATCTGTCCTATGGAGTGAAGGATTGTGGCATGAACTTTGAATGGAAACTCTTTAACTTCACCTCTAAGGACTGTTCCAATCTGGCCAAGGGTCTTAAGAAGTGCCAAAGCTTGAAAGTAACATACTCCGTCCGAGCTGATTTTTCTCTGTCATGCACACATATGCATATTTTAAGGTGTATGCTTAAACAGGGCCAAAACTACTGTAGGAAAAAGCCTAAAAGACCAGTGTTGCTTGCTTCTCACTCTTAGTCTGGCCAATCTATGGGCAGTTTCCAAATGCCTCATTCAAGAAGCCAAATAGTTTAACCCTCTTAGGCAAAGTTTGAAATCTGATGCCCAAGTGTATTCACAGAGTGCAGATCACTGCAATATGTAGAGGCCTAGCCCAAATCACAAACCCAGAAAACTATTTAAGATGTAGTTCATGCCACATCATTGGCTAAATTAAGATCCAGTGGATATGTCTACATGAGTCATTTACTGGGGAGTAGATTAATTAGCTCCACAGTAAACATCTTGCATATACACATGTGGCCCTATTAGGCCACAGGAAACTAATTAACTCCACATCAGGGTAGTACTTGTAAATACAAGTGCTATCTTGCTGCAGAGTTTTTCACTGGAGCACCCTCATGCCCCAGCCAGCCCCTCTGCAGCACATTGGGCCCCCTGCCAGCTGGGGCTGCTCTTACTTGCCTCAATGTGCTGTGATCCAGGGTGCATGTTCAAGCAGCCTGCCCAGGAGCAGTAAATTCAAGTGCAATAAATGCCAGAGTTTATTGCTTCGAACTAATTGCATGTGTAGACACTCCCAGTATAAGCCACTGAGCTACAGAAATTTGCAGGGTCACACCAGAGCCAGACTGAGCTGAGTGGAATGACACAACATGAAGATTCCTTGAGCTCGCGAGCAACTGTCTCTGTTAGCTGACTTCAGGGCTTTCCTTTTTGCCATTCCAATCTAATGGAGTGTTTGAAGTGAAACTTAAGTCTCCTGCTACTTGCTTTCGGGGTGGGTTGTCTAGGGTGTTGTGTGGCCAGGGACTCAGCTAATGTGACCATGCATTCACTGAGAGGAATGGTATTGATAGCACTCCTATTGCACCTGTTTGGATAATTGTAAAGGGGACAGGGAGGCATTTTTTCCTTAAGATGTGGAGGGGAAGAGGGGTTATAAGCAAATGAATGTAAAAAATGTTGATTAAATAATAAACAAGGCAGAATGCCTCCAGCAGCACAGATATGAAGGGATCAAGGGGAAGTGTGGGAGCATGGAGGGTGTTTCTTTCTGGGTAACAGCAGAATCCTCAACTCCCCAATGATTCTGAGATTCAGAGTGATTCAGAGACTCTGGCCCATTGTATATTACACAGTGCAAAGTCAAACTTACCTGACTGCTCATGCTCTGTCTCTGGCTTGGCAGACTTTAGGAACTGCCTTCTGCCTATGTATGTTAAATGAAATGATCTCTTCCATAGCCATAGAGGTCCCATCTTGGGGAAAATTTAAGACTGCAAAATTCCTTTAGTGAGGGATAAACAAAGCCCCTTAAAAAGACTAGTACCACAACGATGGTATCTTGTTGTGTTTGGGCTACAGTTCAAACAGTGGCTATTAAACTGTAAGCTAAGGTGAATTTAGTAAGTGCTCTCCAAGGAGGGTAGAAGTGGGGAATCTCATCCATTTGGGTGCATGTAAAAATCTCATGCAAAATGTCAGTGGGGTCTGTGCCAGAAAGTGTCGTGTTCTTTTCCTCCTACAGGTCTTCAAACTGACCCGCAGCAAAGTGGATGATGACAAGGCCCGGCTGCTGATTCGGAACTTGTTGGACCACCCATGCCTGGTGGAGCTGGACTTCTCTCACAATCTGATTGGGGACCGAGGAGCGAGAGCCATTGGCAAACTGATGAACCACAGCAGACTAGAAATTCTCACCCTGTGCAATAACCAGATTCGGCCCCCAGGTGCCCAGGCAATTGCTCATGCTCTCGCTAAGAATTCAACACTGATATCTTTGAACTTGCGCCTCAACTGCATTGAGGATGAGGGAGGGCAAGCCGTAGGCCACGCCTTGCTGAGCAATTCCTCTCTGAGATCTATCAATCTGGCAGGCAATGAGCTGTCAGAGCCCACAGCGACACTTTTCTCTCTAGTCCTTGCTCAGAACACAGCTCTCACTAGCATCAACCTCTCATGCAACCACATAGGACTGGTAAGTAGCTTCCACACCTGCAAAAGAAATAATTTCTGTCTGCTGCAATCACAGCAGCTAGTGCCGTCTTGGTGCATCTGTCTGGGTAATTTTATATAAAGCAGATGCAGATCTCTTTCCGCCTCTGAACTGCTACCCTTCTCTAGGGAGCTGAATGTATCCTTGTGTCATGCACATCTAAGGTGATTTTGCTTTGTTTATTGCAAGTTACTAGCAGCAGAGAGATTACAGCAAACATCGCTAAAGACCAGGGATTCCTTTGTTTCAAACTCCTTGCAGTGATACATTTTACATGGCCCTCACATTAAGCCTGTATTTCCTGCTTTGGGCATGAAGAGATGTTGCGGGGGTGGTGTTTTCCCCCCAGAAAATTCAGGACATCTTCCTACGGGTGTCATGGTTACTGCACACAATCTGGGAAGTGGTTTCCAGATTAGAAAGGAAGGTGCTATGGGCATGGTAGTTCCATATGAAAGTCTGGCTGAGACACCTGTCCCCTTGCAGCTCTTGTCCCTCAGCAGTGCACAGGCAGGAAGGTCTCAATCTCATCACAACCTCCCCCAGCGAGCCAGATACAGACCAGGTTTAAAAAATTGACTGAGCTCACATAACTCTCAGCACTGCCACCGGAGTCTTTCCAAGACTTTCCAAGTCCTGTGGGCCAGAATTTTCAAATCTGGTACTCACCATTTGGCTGGTACGTCTCAAGGCCCTGATTTTCCAAACCGAAAATTGAGCATGTGCAAATCCCACTGGTGTTAACAAGGGCAGGTCTATGTTGCAGCAGCAGGGCGCTCAGTTTCCCTACTATGGCCTTAAGCACCATCATCCACCCCCACTCCACATGTCAGCCCCAGACAGACTTGAGGCAGTGGAAACACCCTGGGAGTGCCCCATGGTGCCATCACAAGCACCGCAAAAACTTAACGCTGGAGCACAGTCCAAGCAGTGCTCACAGAGCATCCTCTCCACCTCATTTCTGCAGTTGATGCACATGGAGTGGGAACATGCAGCTAGAGTTTATGGCCTGGGTGATGCTGAGCTCTGCCACCACAGTTTAGACATGCCCTCAAAGCTGCCAGTGCCCCACATCTCTGAAGATAAGATTTCTTCTGTTTAGTTGATTTAGTAACCTAATGTGCAGCCAGGTTTGAAAAAGGTAACTTTTAAGTTCTCTGTGCCTCTGTGTCCCTCTTGGTATAATGCAGAGGTAGCAAGATTTGCTGTGCCTATCTGCCTGCTTCACAGGATTGTCAGATTTGGTTACTAGCCAGTGTTTTCAAAGAGCTTTGAGGATAGAAAGTGTCTCATTAGTTCTATTTCTTATTATCACATAAACATGAAAGAGCTTGAGCATAGCAAAGCAAAGACCAAAGGGCTTTTTTGCTGAGTTTTTTATACTTTTAAATAATAATCATAATGTTTAATACCTTCCATCTAAGCATATCAAGGCAATGTTACTGATATCCATGAATAAAGCTTCAGAGTGCCTAGAGACCAGGATTTGTTATATTGTCTCCATTTTACAGATGAGGAAACTGAGGCACAGAGAGGGGCTGAGACTCGCTTGAGTTTCCCCAGAAAATCAGCAGTAGAGCTGGAGATGAAAGGCCAGAGGCCTAGTTCCCAGTCCCCTGCTGTAACCACGAAATAAAACTCTGCTCCTAGATGTGGGGATACAGTCCAAGAGTTTTGACCCCCAAGCCTCTGGTCAAGCCACTGGAGACATGCCAGAGTCACTCTGCTGATGTGTATCTGCATTGCTGTTCATTTCAACAGGAGACCTTCCCTTCTTTGCTTACTTTCTGCCGTGTTTTGAAAGAGGCCTAAATGGCAGCAGGCCTCCCCAAACAGCAAAAGTTGGGATTTGCATGCAATGTATGTGGTATCTGATGGGTGCAGGTTGGAACTGTTTGAGATATAACCAGTCAAAAACAAGTGTGATAGTTGCATTCCCTGGGGATGATGTTAGCAGAAGAGGGAGGTAACCCCACCGAAGCAAGTTGACTCCAAAACCTGAACACCTGAGATCTTGGCAACATTTTCCTTCATAGCTTGAGTGTCTTAAGTGAATTGGATTTCCACTGCATGGGAGAGTCTACCACTCCAGATATGTCTTCCAAGACATGCTGTCTGCAATGAGTCTGTATATCAGCTGGCTCAGGTGCCAGTAGCAGGCCAGCCAAGGCAATACTGAACTTAGAGAGGGTTGCCCCCGAGGGGCTTGGTAAATTAGCCTATGCTGAGCTTCATGCTGCTGTGGTTAGACTGCTACTGGCACCCAGCCTAGCTAGTGTAAAGCTATCTGGGGCATCTACACAATCATCAACAATGTGGGTGTACGCCGAGGAGAAAGCCAGCAGAATGGAACTCATGACATTTTCTGGATTCCAGCAGTACATTTTATTGTGCTGGCACTTGTCTTTACCCAACTGTGAGCAGGTGAATGGGTGACAAGACACACCAGAACAGCTCCTTCAGATTTTCATCTCAGTCTGTGCTATTCAGGACCCATGAGCCTGAAAACCGCTGACATGATACCCAGAGGGAGTCATTAGCAAACATCATCTCACTGTGCACTGCATAAGGTTACTGTCCTTTCCTGCTGTTCCCTTGCGAGTGATATTTTAGTCTTGGGTGAAAGTCTTAGTTTGTGAGAAGTAGGCTCTTAATCCAGACCTTTCCCCCAGGTTTTATTCACTGTAATGTACAGCCTCCCCAGGAGATGTGAAGGGGAAACACATATGCCCTTTTCTGCCCTACCTGCAGGCAGTAGGGGAATGTCAGTGAAAGTTAGTCTGATGATGGGGAACAGATAGCAGTGACTCTTAGTAGAAGGTCTCCCCCTTTCCTGGTCCACACTTCTCATCCATCTCCTTTCTGATTCTAGGATGGTGGGAAGCAGCTGCTGGAAGGAATGTCAGATAACAAAACCATGACTGAATTTGATCTACGCCTGGCAGAGGTGGGACAGGAGAGCGAGTACCTCATTAACCAGACCCTGAGGGCCAACCAGGAGATAGCCCGTTTGAAGACCCTGCAGCAATCAAACTCCCCCCGAGAAAAGCTCCCATAGTCGGATTAGTCTTTCATACATTGTTATTTTGCTCTGCAGCTATTGAAATGAAATGCTTCTTTTTACTGAGGAACTGGTGCTAAAGATGAGTATCTGTGTGTGTGGGGAAGGGGGATCAAGGAAGCAAAGTCTCAGCAGGCAGGACCTACCTAGCACTTGGACCCCAAAGAAGATTCTCACTGGGTTCCTTCATCCTGCATGCTTAGGGTTTTGCGTTTTCTCCATCTCTGCAGCCAGGTCAGGTTCCCAGAGACCTCCCACCAGCCAAAGCTTACTCTCCCATTCAGCACACTCACCTCCATTCAGATTTTTCTCAGTTCGTCTGCTTTCCTTGCTTCATGCTCACCCGCCAGGGCAGGTAGCATGAGTGTCTGATAGCTGACCTTTGGAGTAGCCTTTGTCTCGAAACCATGAAGCTCACTGCTACAGTGAGACTTAATACAATGAATAGACACACACCACTGCCAAACCCAGGTCTCCTACATAGCTCTGCTGCAAGGTAGTACAATGTTGTTTTTGGCAAGGGGAAAACAGGATGGCAGATGACAACCCTGCACCCAGCACTGGGTGGCCACTCAGAGCTCACTACATGAGAGCACAGTGACCAAGAAGGAGCAAACAGGATAGGAAACTGTTTTATGTCAGCTCACTCCACACAAAGGCTTGATCATCTGGATTTTTTCCAGTTTTTATAAAGCTGTTCTCCCCTTACCTTCCCCCATCACCCCTACACCTGCCATCAGTCTCAAAGGAGAATATATGTGGTGTCTAACTAGCACAGTTTTGGGGGAGGGCTGTTTTTCTAGTAAAGGGCCTGCCCTCCATTTTGGATTTCCTTCCAAAACTGAACATCACATAGCACAGAGAAGCAATCCCAAGAATGCCTCTATCAACAAAGGAAAGAAAGCCTCCTCAGTCACTTGTTGTAGGACATAAAGGCTGCATATCGTATATGGAGTACATGGTTTTACCCAATCTACAATGATACTAAAGGCTTAGACTCCCCCTCCATATCAGGGCACACACAAGAGGGATTTGTAAACTCTGAATTGACTGCGTAAGTAACTCATACCTTCTCTATATTCATAAAGCCCCTCCCAGGCACTTGGTTTTAAAGTTTGGGTGGAACAGGAATCAAAGAAGGGTGAAACTGCACAATGGCAGCCCCAC